AATCATCAGGTGTGAGCTGGAGAGTGGGAACGACAAAACCAATCAAGGGGCAATGTGTGCTTTATAAGGTAATGACAAATCAGTTCATTCATCTCTACACAATGTAAGTGTATGATCATTTTCTTTTTGAAAATACCCTCAATTTACATTTTTCACAAGTGCATACTACTTTCCATAGTACTGTAGCTTTGCAGGGAGATTTCTCCAGGTGTCTTCTTGCCCTAGGATTCAGTCTGGTAGTAGTCTGTTGTTTTTAATGTAATACTAAATTAACTCTGATGGTGAGATCAAGGCTGCGTTCCAATGGGGTTTTAGATGCATGCTCACAAATGTCCCTAAGCACTTCCCCAGAGGGAATTTTGAAGTGAGTTCCACTTCATCAAGTGGATGAGGGAGTTTATATGTACGTGACCCCTTGATTTTGACAGAGGGAGCGAGTCGTTTTTCTTATTACTTTTGAGTGACTAATCCTTTTAAATGTTTCAGGAGAAAGGTGATGCCCGTGTTTTATTTTGTGTCCAAAAAATTGATGAACGTCTACTTCGTCTGACACACTATTTCAGGCCCTGGACTCTCTAGTAACGTGCCAGCAAGTACTCCACTGCTAGATGCTCATCTGCCATGAAGAATCATAAAAAACATTCTGTATTGAAGGAAATCAATCAGGCTGAAGTCGTCCGAGACGTCTGGTTAATGTAAATAGAGTTAAAGCAACTGATTCAGGTTAATTATTTTAAACTGCACTTGGGTTCTGCATCCGGCTCGCTTTGGTGTAGCAGATATCAGGTAATCACAGATATAGTGTATGGAGGGCCAAATTACTCAAAATTAAATAATTAAATAAGTGTTGATACACGTCTCTCAACAATAGTGGGCGGCATCACCTTTCAAACTCGATTTCTTTGGTCCACAGATGTTCTAAATACCACAGGACCCTCGGAAAATTAAGAGCTCCAGCCCATGTTCTTAACTAAGAAAACTTAAGTCAGAAAAAAGTCTCAGTCTAAATTACATTCACACTGGTTTTTTTAGGAAGCCAAACAAATTAGCATATGATAATAACAACAACAACAATTTTATAATATTCAAACAAAATTATTATTCAAATGTTATTCCTATGACAGTAACAGCCATATATTGTAAAACAATTGTACTGTAAAATAAATGAAAATGAATATTTCAGAGCTATATTATTTTTGCTTTACACTACAGTAGGGAAATTAACATAATTATTATATATGTGACCCTGGAGCACAAAGGCAGTCTTAAGTCGCTGGGGTATATTTGTAGCAATAGCCAACAATACATTGTATAGGTCAAAATAATTTTTTTTAATGCCAAAAATCATTAAGATGTTAAGTAAAGATTATGTTCTATGAATATATTTAGTAAATTTCTTACCATAAATATCAAAACTTAATTTTTGATTAGTAATATGCATTGCTAAGAACTTCATTTGGACAACTTTAAAGATGATTTTCTCAATATTTAGATTTTTTTGCACCCTCAGATTCCAGATTTTCAAATAGTTGTATCTCAGCCAAATATTGTCCTATCCTAACAAACCATACATCAATGGAGAGATTATTTATTCAGCTTTCAGATGATGCATAAATCTAAATTTCACAGAATTTACCCTTATGACTGGTATTGTGGTCCCAGATCACATATTATAATAATTATTATACGATACTTCTTTCTTTCCTAATTTCTACATTTGAAAGAGATATTTTCAAGTGTACAGAATGGCTTCCACATAAGACAGTTAGTGGAAGTTACAGAAAAATGGTTATAACTTTTTAAATATGGATATTTTTCTTACAAAAACGCATGGATTCGCTACAGGAGGCCTTTATTCACCCCCCGGAGCCGTGTGAGGCACGTTTTATTATGGATGGATGCGCTTTATTTGACTTCTTTTGGACTGTTGAACAGAAACACCTGCCTACTCCCATTCTAACACTTGGAAGAGCCAGGATAATTTTTAATATAACTCCATTTGGATTCGTCTGAAAGAAGAAAGTCATATACACCTAAGATGCTTTGAGGGTGAGTAAAACAAAGGGGAATGTATGAATAGGAACATTTCAGCTTCTCTGTTTCTGCCACGGGACCTGCATCCCGAGGCAACTAGGAATTACACAAGCTTCAGTCTGTATCCAACCCTTACGAAGATCTGAGATGAGCGAACACTTGAGAAGAGATGATGCCAACCCCCCAGAGGACCTCAGATGATGCTAACCCTGGAACAACATATAGAGTAAAACATGGGCTAATTAAAATTTTTCGGTGAACAAACCCTTTAAGGCAACATCTGCCCATTCATTCATTTATTTTAATACTGCCCTTATGAAAATAACCATGGTTTTGCTAACCATGGTATGTGTGGTAAAACTGTGGCAATACAGATGAAAATCAGTCGATGAAAAAAAGAAAAGAAAACATGGTTACTACATATTTACTATGATAAACACCCTTACAAAAATTAACCATGGTTTTACTAGTCAAACTGATCTCTCTCTCTCTCTATATATATATATATATATATATATATATAAACTACCACATTTTGCTTAATCACAACATTTAATCGCAACATGTAATCATTGCAGTTAATAGTGTTCATCATCTGTTTGATTACGTGTAATTTGTAACTAACTGCATGATTTTACTGTACATTTCTGCCGTAGTCACCACTAATAACCTACTCCTAAATATAATGTAGAAACTTACAAATCGTTGCAAAGCAGATTTACAGAAAATGTTATCGTGAAAAGCGCTATACAAATAAACTTGAGCTGAATTGATATGAGATGTAGGCCTATACATCCTCAGTTTCGAAATGCATACTACTCACGAACATGCTCCCGCGTAATATTTTAGAAGGACCTTCATCCCACCGCATCAGTCTCACCCATGCTTTCCTCAATACATGTTGTGTCAGGAAATAGTGAAAACTGAGGCAGTGTGTCATTGTTTAGAATTAAAGCAGCCAGGTACGGTGCAGTAACACCGGCGAGAGAAGAAAGAAAGAAAGGAAAGAGAGGATTCGCCCATTAGTTTTGATTGTGTTGCGATGGGACCGGAAGTGGAACCACACATCAGGAACTCACACAAAACAGATGCCATGCAACAAAACAATAAACGTTCTAATCTGAAGAGAAGATCTACTATTTGTTCAATTGCCCCTTCACCCATCCTTAAGCCCCCTCTTCCCTACTGAACATATGGCGCAGGTCACCAAAAGTCGACTTGGAAGAACTCAAGTTACTATCCTTACGTTTTGTGGTTATTATGTTTTAAGAATATATGATTTTAACCTTTTCATGTTTCGTATTATTCTAAAGGTCTCTGTGCGATTGGTAAAATGGTCTCAATTTCACAGCAGTCACTTATATTATGAGAAACTTTTGTAGAATTCTGGGGCCTGTTTCATAAAACAAGTTTACCAAATAAGCCAGGCTTATTTCAGTTAGTCTGACTTATTTTGAACCAAATCAGCTGAGTAACTGAAATGAACCTGGTTTATTTGGCAAACTTGTTTTCTGAAACAGGCCCCAGAATTCTACAAAAGTTTTAGGGATGGGCTAAGGGGGCTGAAGCCCTGAATGTTTTTATTCCCATGCCTTTTATGTACAAGTTTTCATGCGCAATAAAATCATTTCTACTACAACCGCAGATTTGTTCTCTGCACATCTAACAGTGTCAACTTTATGTTGTCATTCATTCACTCCGATAAGGACCGCCTTATTCTCACAAAAATCATGTTGTTTGGTGAGGGCTATTTATTAAAACAATAACAGAGCTAAGCTTGCCATTTTACCTTGTCCCAGATGAATCAGCAAGGAAAGAAGAGGCTTTAGGAGCGAAACACAGAAAGGGGCAGAAAGTGAAAGGGATGATCTAGGAACACTGCAGACATGCCCAAAGCAGGTGAAGCTTCAGCAGTATCCCTTTACCCAATTTGGAACACAGCGGAGAGCTTTTAATAAGAATTGGCTGGATGAATTTCAGTGGCTTGAGTACTCAGTATCCAGAAATTCTGCATTCTGCTTTTCTTGCCGTCTCTTTGGGAAGCATCATGTTTTAGAAGGAAACAGAAGAGGCTTGATGATTATGTGGTGGAAACAGCATGTGGGACAACCTCAGAAATCAGTTCTTCACATGACTTCATGTCTTGACCGAGTGATGCAGGAGATTGACAAGCGTATCTCAGGAGTAGGAGTAGATCTTATGAAGGGCATTCAAGCCTGCCATCCAGCATCAGACACCTTTCTTGATGAAGAATCCCTCAAGATTCTTGCCACACATTATAATATAGAGTTGCAGTCAGAGGAGCTCCTGGTGGCAAAAAAACCAATGGAACAGATGGAAGGAGAAAGAAGTCATTCCTGACATAGTGCAGGAGTTATGCAAATGTGTTACTCATTTGCATAAAGTGGGATTCGAATTCCTGACAACTCGTTTTTCTTTCTTTTAGGAGACGACTTTATTTATTGTGGACTTTCGGCTTTACAACTTTGCAGATTGTTTACATTTATATACGGCTACATTACACACGGCATGAAAGGAAATATTTGAAATGGAATAATAGGAGCACTTTACATTTTATTTTTTAATGTTATGACCTCACAAAAAAAGGCTGGAAATTACTACTGTAACCAGTAGATGGCAGCAGAGGAGCACTTATTGGCTCATTAGTCATTTCCACCACTCCCTAACAGTTTTCTTGTCTTTTTTCTGCCTGCAAATGCCTACATAACCCACAAGGTGACCTTATTCCAGTCTAACCGAAGCCGAAGGCCTGACGATTACTATCTGCTGAAACCACACACGTCCTGCTTGTGAAATTAAATGTTTGAGCTGTATGTGAGTTCAAACAAATTAAAAGGGCCTTTCCATAGGCATTTTTTGATATAAATAAAACAACAACATTTGTTATGTTTTTTAAGCCATTTGAAATACAGGGACACAGGAAGTGTCCTCATAAACCACCTTCACATTGTAACACCTGTGTCATACCCATGTCATCATACAGATTTGTGTCCTCATAAACAACATCAATCATTGTGACATTGCATAGACGTCCACTGATTTTCTACCAGGTTAATTATATTTTCTGTAAGCTAACCCAACCCCTAAACCTACCCATCGCACAAACATGTGCAGAACACTGGATTCACATCAACAACATCTTTTGGCTGATTTATGAGCCTTTTTAACTAGTGAGGATCAGTCAGATGTTTCACTAGTGGGTTGACAATGTATTTCACAATAGAAGTGAGGACATTTGGTCAAAACAAGTACACATGCACACACACTGGGCCTCATTCGTTCATGTATGTGTGTGTGTGTGTGTGTGTGTGTGTGTAAACCACAAAACCTCCAAATTTTTAGTTTCTCTTTATTTGACCACATGGGAATATGGTTACCCACAGATGGCAACATTTATATGAGAAACAAACACAGAAAGCACATGAAAATAATCTAATGCACAAAAACATGCTACACAGTCTGTCACATTGCCTCACATCATTTATTAAACACCATGACTGTCCTGACTGACAGACTTCACCATAAACACCCACACTGGCCTGCAGATCATCTGCGATCTCTATATTACTGTGACTCTCACCTGGTTCACACTTTTGAATTTACTGTATTTCGCTCATGCTTGAATTCACACTGAAAGCGTCTTTTCATCTATGCAGAGATTTATAGGTAACTACGGTGACTGTATCATTTAAGTATGACCTAAAATGGTCATTAATTGTCTTTGAAAAATCTTATTTAGATGAGGAGGAAAAATTCACCCGACTGGTAGCTAAATCATTTACATGACTTTCTATAATTCATATCAAATCTACATATATTTGCAAACTAAATTCAATGAATTCGATTCAAATATGTTAATTTAGTCCATATTAGTGTGTTGTCACTTAAATTGAGCAGGAGCAGCTCTGCGAAACTAGACTTGGCATTAAAACACCACTGCTGCTAATGCAATGCTCACGCTTCCATGTGAACAACCTCGTTTCTTAACATGCGCAGTGAAAAATGATGCGCTGCTGACACTTGCGCTGTGAATCAGGCGTTCTGCATGCGAATGCGCTCAGCTTGAACTGAAACTCCAGGCACGTTTCCCATCAAGACAAACCAGCACAGACTGCGTGACTCATGGACTGTGTTATTCTGTGTGTGTGTGTTATTAGATGCCTCTGCAGCTCCTGTCTGATGAATGAGGTAGTGAAGGCATGCCAGCTTCGCTCGGGTCCGACTCGATCGTGCTCAACAGCGCCTCCATCTGCTTCTCCAGCAGTGCTGCCAGCTGGCTGCTCTTGTCTGCTTCGTCATCCGCTCCCTCGTTGAGCTGCAGGTAGGGCACCAGATGCTGCGCGCTGGCGGGCGTCACGCTGTTCACACACGTGTAGAAGTCCTGAGTGGGCAGTGCCGCAGGGCCGGGGCTTAGAATCATGCTGTAGTCCATGCCTGGGACAGAGGCGAGCTCCGGGTGGGCGGGGCCAGGGTGTGGAGGGGGTGTGTCTTCCTCACAGTAGGGGGCGGGGCCACGACAGTAAGGCGCAGGAGTGCAGCTGATCTGAACAGACTGTTGTCCGTCGGGGCAGATGACGTACTGCGTGATTGGCCCGATCGGTGCATCCTCCTGTATACCGTCAGGCGTCACAGCCGGACTCGTGTCCACGCTCACCTGGTACCACGTATCCGTGCAGTACTGCGGCGACTTATAGCCGTGAAAACTGGAGAAATGCTGATTGATCTTGTCAATCTTCCCCTTCTGTTGGGACAAGAAAAACAGAAGCTGAAGCTTCAAATTAAGTTCCTCACGCGGTTCCGAATACATCATTCAACATTGTTGTGCTAGTTGTCGTGACGTTGCTATGCAGTCACTAAGCTATTTTCTGATCTGAGCTGTTTGGCTGATCTGAACACTACTAATAATTCAAACAGTGTGAGGTGTGACGGGACTCTCAGACCTTCAGCAGAGCGGGTTCAAGCCCTGGGATGCGCGGTTTGGGAATCTCTGGCAGGAGGAGCGATTTAATCCTGCTGGAAGAACACAAGCAGTGAAAAACATCCATGAGACAGTGATACAAAACACACAGACATTAGCTAAACGAGGACCTTCCGTAGACTTGTCTTCTTTTTAATAAACAGCACACTGACCCTGACTGTCTTTTGCCATTTAAAAGTCTTTATTCATAACACATCCCAGTAGAGTATTTTCAGTATTTTTATTCTCTACCCCTCACAGAACCCTTTTTGCATGTTTACATTTTCAGATAAAAATCATTTAGTATGTTTATTAATCACTTTTCTGCAGCCGTCTGCAGATTTGTGACTCTCAGTGCCTGAACTAAACATCTGATGAAGCCTCTAGATCCATGTTCTCATGTGAGCTAATGACGCAGATCTACAGATCCATCTGTGTGATTCACGTCGACAGTCCGTCGATACTGAGACCAGAGCTATGAGCTTCATGACGTCACTGACCTCTTGCCTCGTGGGATGTTCCCCAAACTGATGAAGAGGAAGATCATGATGGCGATGCTGGTCACAAGGATCAAGGCCAACATCCGATCTGAGAGGCAGACAGACAGACACTTAGAGCAGCAGCTATCAGTCTGATATATGCCTAAGTGGTGTGTGAGTACCGGACAGAGCTCTGCCGTTGATGGTGACGATGATGGACTCGCTCCATGCACTCCAGTGTTTGTTGCTGGTGGAGCGGCAGCGCACACTGAACTCATACGTTCCCACCGGCAGATCCAAAAACTCCACACGAGGCTCACGCAAACGCTCCATTACCTTCAGACCAATAGACCACAAAATGTTTGACTCCATTCCTGTCTCTTCTACAGTTATCATAAAAATGGAGACGTGATAAGCAGACTCTCTGTGTCTGTACCCTCCAGCTGTCTGTCTGAGCGAGGTTTCTGTAGCGCAGCTCGTAGACGAGCACGATCAAGTCCTCATGCACTAGAGACTCAACCGGATGCAACCAGGACACTAAAACACTGCGGCCGACTTCACCGATGCTCTCGTTCAGCATGATGTACGTCAGGTTACAGGGTGGGTCGGTCTCCACTGGGGACAGAAGCACACGAGACTCATTAACAAACATGATGATGAGCAAACCTCAGGAGAAATTTCAGTCAGAAGAGTTGATGCCAGCTTCACAATATCCTGACATTTTTGTAATATTTAGAGTATAGCATCACCTATATCGACCACGTCCAGGCATTGTTTCTGAGAGGTGATGGGCCCCGTGCGCGTGTGTGCCGTCACGTTCATGCAGTACATCTCCCAGACCTGAGTGTGTTTGGCATCGAAGAAGCAGCTGTTGATGCCGCCGCTCACGTAATCGGGACACTCCCAAGGAGCGCGCTCACTGCGGAGCAACATGACGTCTGTTCACTATTCACAGCTACACTCCACATAACAAACACTAATCTGGTGAAACATGACGATAAATCAAAGCGATCGAATGTTACACAGATGCATTAAAGGCACGCTGTGAAGTGCGTTTGGTTCACGTCTCACCCCGTGGTGTACAGGAACGTGTAGGTGACGTTGTCCTGATTAGTGATCGGACGCCACCAGCAGGTGAAGATCTCCATGTTGGGCGAGCGGCAGCGGTAAATATACGGACTTTTGCCATCTGCAATGGAAGAAACAAAGACTGAAGATCTCAGAGAAGAAGTCTATTGCAGCGTAGAAGTGGCAAATTACATGAAGCAACTACAGTGGAGTCAGAATGAACACCGAATGTATAGATGGTACTGCATGTTAGCTTGCTTATTGTGCACAAGAGCATCATTTATTTAAGCCCATGTGTCTTTCTAACAAGAAACTATGCTTCTAACCACAGGTCGAGAGCTGTAGTCCCAACTACGTAGGTTTGCGAATGTTCATGTGAGCTATGGTTTCGGGAAACACAGAATCGTTTAACTATGTTGGTAATGACGGAACTTGCGACCACAGCTGGCTAACGATGCTTTTGGGAAACGCACCCCAGAATGGTGCCGAAACAACTCAAGTGTTGACGTAGATGTTGTCTATGATATATCCAGCTCTTTGGGTTGATGTGGTCATTTCTTACCGCAACATCAAGCGTGAACATAATAACACGTTATGAAGAGGAACATCTTATTGTGGTCAATTACAGTGTTTTACAACAGCTAGGACACATTTCTTAATACTTAGACTGCTATTGTAAATAAGTGATTTATGTGAGCTAAACTGTGAATCATTGCTTTGGCACAAAATACATCCCTTGAATGACTACAGCTTTGAAATGACATCAATTCATTTCTCACTCAGACAATAGTTCTATTGGACTATTATCATATCAACAGCCATTCACTGCCATTATAAAGCTTGGAAGAGCCAGGACATTTTTTAATATAACTCCAATTGGATTCATCTGAAAGAAGAAAGTCATATACACCTAGGATGGCTTGAGGGTGAGTAAATCATGGGCTAATTTTCATTTTTGGGTGAACTATCCCTTTAAGTTCAAAACCTAGCAAAACTGAATATGACAGCAATTTTGCTACATTTCTACAGTAATACTATATTGACATACTGTATATTCTAAATCATATATTGATTGAAATACTAACAAAAGAGTTAGATTTAGCCGAACAACTACACAGGTATTAGTCTTTGGATTACATTACCATCTGTACAAAAAGAGACAAATTAGGAACAATTTTGTACTATAATTTAAACATGGAGTATGTAACATACACCATACAGCAGTGAATTATAAACAGAAGCAGGTCTCATTCTTGTTTTACAAAACCAAACACTGTATAATGCTTTTTTTATTAGGCTGCTGTTTTATGATTGGGAAAGCCTTTGCTACTTTTAAAGAAGAATGAGCTTGACACACACTACACAGCATACTTGACTTTAGTCACTCATCAGCGTGACGCACACTCCTCGACTCTTACTGACTCACTTATATAGCTACAAGTTTAGTTGCTGACAGCAAACATTAAACACAAAACACTCCATTAGTGTCTTCAGTGTGTTTGAGATAATGACATGTGGGCTCATACTAGCAGCTACACATTCCTACAAAACACAGACACAGAGAGAGCATTGTGACCGAGTAATAAACACAGCAATGGCCAGCTAAAAACCGCTCAGCAGAGTTCCAAGAGTTCATACAGGGTCATCTGAGAAGCTCTTACCGGCGATTTGAGATCTCAGATACACTCACTGTCAGTTTTCACTTTAAAATGTTAATACAAAAGCATAATACAAAAACACTTAATACATGATGCAAAGACAAGCTGCTTATTAATAGTTAGTAAGGTAGCTGTTCATTTAGATATGGGGTAGGTTTATGGGATCTAGAATATGGACATGCAGAACGAGGCATTAATATGTGCTTTATAAGTAAGTACTAATAAACAGAAAATATGCTAGTAATAGTTAATAGTGAGAGTATGGCTAATACATTTACATTTAGAGCCATTTTAACTTGTGTTCCATTCAATTTATTCCTCAAATGCCCATTACTTGGTCTTCAAAAAGTCTTAAAATTAAAATGTCTTAAATTTTCCTTCATAAAACCTGCAGAAACCCTGTATTTACTTATTAGCATTGTACATGTATTTACTTATTTACATCTACACACACACACACACACTCGATGTGCTATAGACCTGCTTTAGCGGGTGAGTTAAGGACCCTGATCTAATGGTGTAGTGTTTACTAACCGCTTTATTTACTTGCAACAGCCTGTCATCATCGATGTGCTATAGACCTGCTTTAGCGGGTGAGTTAAGGACCCTGATCTAATGGTTTAGTGTTTACTAACCGCTTTATTTACTTGCAACAGCCTGTCATCATATGTTGACGTCACGCGTGAAAGATAAACCCGAGGAAAGCTGAAAACCAGAGAGGATCAAGTCTCATGAAATATGATCATAACTTATTTTTCGCAGTACTAGCAATTTCTTTCACACAAAGGCACAAACAGATAGTTTTGAGCAGTGTTGGGAAGGTTACTTTGGAGATGTAACAGGTTACAGATTACAAGTTGCCCTATTTAAAATATAGTAGTGTAACTATTTCAATTGCTTAAAGTAATGTAAATGATTACATTTGTTTGCTTTTTAATTCCTTTTCTAAATTTTACATTTCTAAATCATTTCAAATTATTCTCTAAACTGAATTATTTTGAAACATTTAAAGCAGGCAGGGTTAACTTTACAGTAGTACTCAACACTGATTACGGTCAAAATACTTAATCTCTTGAATTAAAATCAAAATAATTCATTTCAAAGCACAGCCACCACAAAATCAGACCTTAGCATCTCTTTTTACTTTGAGATCGTTCTGAGGTTAAATACAGATTTCAAATAAAAATATATAGTTTAATTGCTATGATATTGTTTTTGAAATCAAATTTCAAAATTTGAAAGGACACACTGGCATCTAACAATGCCTTGCAAAAATGGTTAATCTTAAAAAATAAAGCATATACATAAACCCAAATATGGAATAAAACAGTTATCAAGTAATTAAACACGTGTGCTATTCTGTGTCCTAAACTCCTGAAACATTTTAGAGAAGTCAATACAATTTATGAAAGGAATCAATCATATCTGTATGTGTGTGTGAAAATATTCAGATGTAAACCCTCTTTGTAATCGTTAACATTTCATAAGTAACTGTAATTACCCATTTTTTCTCAGTGCCTGTAACAGATTAGTTACATTTATTTTGTAATTAAATTACATAATTCAGTTACATATAACTAGTTACTCTATATATTTTAAAAGTCTTAAGGGCCAGTTTGACTAACAGCGTGCGCCAGCGCAAACCGTCTTTTGGTGTTAAAATTGTACTGTCAGGATTTACTAACGCAATACCAGCTCTATCAAAACTTCTAGCAAATCTTCATTTTTTGGCCTCCGGTTCTTTTCAACGTACTGTGGCTTCTTTATTTCTTTATTCTTTATTTGCGACTACGCTAATTTGCGCTGCGCTTGGTATATTGCGTTGAAATACACATATCATGACATACAGTACAAAAATACATAGGATATAGGCGCATATGTATTCACGATTAAGCATTAAAAGATCATGATCTCGATTCAAACACATGCGATCTTAATCCTAAATGATGATAATTCCTATATTTAAACCTTTGATATCACATCGGTATATTTAACAGCTTCACAAACAGTAGGCTACATTTCTGTGTTGTAAACATTAAATAATAACGAAAGTACTGGGATAAAAGTCCAGATATAGACTCTGATGTTGCGAAAAATGAGTAACTGACCTTTAGAACAAATGTTACGTTTCAAATAAAGAGATGTAGATGTTACATTATGTCAGTAGGTGGCGACCAGTCACTGGTAAAAATTTATTTGATGTCTTCGTTTAAAAACTCTGGCCGAAACAAGTCTTCATTCACTCATTTCAAGTGATTTTTTCCATAATGAATTTATTTAAATTCATATTTTTAAATAGACTAATTTGTTACAATTTAGACATTTTGTCAGAACCTCAAGTAAATTAGACAACAGATTATTTTGTTTGCTTGTCTTATGTTTTGTTTTCAGAATCATCAGATCTCTATTCTAAAAATCAATTATTCAAAGTCATAACTTAAAAAAAGAAATGGCATCTAATCAATACTATTAGTACTGTTTCTAATATTAAAATGTAGACTAGTGCGTAAAATGTACAAACTTACAGACTTTTTGTTGTAGTACATCAACAAGAATTTGGTCCAATTATAATGCTTCTCATCCAGTGTGAGGAGTTCTGCAAGCCACACCCCAATCACCAATCCCTCCTCCTCCACACACCCCTTTCTTTTGGTTTGTTCTGTGATCCATAATGTCACACGAGTTCTTCACTCACCTTCCTTGGATGACTGCAGCGCTACAGTGACCGTCATCCAGTGGAGCGTCAGCAGAAAGCACAGCATCACGCGTCTACAACACAAACACACACAACAGCTTCACTGCATGAGACAACAGTAAATAAACAGTGCATACACACGTGTAACAATAAAACGCACATCACGACGAAGCTTCAAACCTCAACTCTTCTTAGACATGCAGAACTTCAGAGGCACACATGTTTAAAAGCCCTGTGATCTGTTGACAAAGGCTGATGGGAACTGGAAATACTGGAACCTTCATGATGCCACACAGACTCGAATTCATAGCTTTCAGTCACGTGACCGGCTCGAAGACCTGGAGGGCAAAACATCCATAGAACTGCAGCACAAGCCTGTCAACACCCGAGCTGCATCACCACTTTTATTACCACCATTAAATAGAGTCTATTATTCCTTACTTTAACGACTGGTTTGATTTCAGAAAACCTGCATCACCTACAACAGCCTGAAATCACTAAACCGATATTTGACAATTAGTTAACTCCGCAAATAACACACAGTTAACATAAACCGATATTTGACAATTAGTTAACTCCGCAAATAACACACAGTTAACATAAACCGATATTTGACAATTAGTTAACTCCGCAAATAACACACAGTTGACATAAACCGATATTTGACTATTAGTTAACTCCGCAAATAACACACAGTTGACATAAACCGATATTTGATTATTAGTTAACTCCGCAAATAACACACAGTTGACATTAGAGGTGAAGCGAGTTATTACATTATGATGATGAAGGACAAACATGATGAATCATGATTTGCCTGTAACATTAAAGACTCTCTCAATCACATCAGATCATGTTGACTGGAGAAACCCAGGATATGATTCACATGGTTAAAACGACTCAAAGAAACTCATTGGGTCAGTGACTGTAATCGCACAGTTCACACCGTCTCCTCGAAAGACCAACCTTTGATCTAATTGTGTCACACAAAAGCAGAGTGATGGCATGCATGTGTTACAAAAGCGTCTTTAATGCATAAAGGCGTGACTGTTCTGAATGCGGCTCTGGCGTGATCCGTGTCGATGTATGACGTCCGGTGACTGCTAATGCTAGTCAGGATCTCCACGACTGTTTCCTCTGTGCTGAAGAACTCGAACCTGTTCAGTGAACTCAGCCCAATACTGCGCTCCTTTGTGGCATTCATAACAGAACAAAAATAAATGCATAAAAAAATACAACGTTTATTATAGTGCCGTTCATTACAAACAACATTTATTTTAAAGGGGTGGTTGCCTGTTTTTTTTCACAATCCCTTTCTCACAGACATCCCTGGAAAGTTTGGAGTTGGGTCGGATATGTCAAAAGCAGGTAAGTAAAACAATGCGCAAGCACAGTCAGCATTGTATATTTGGAATAGTGTTGGCTCTTTGACAAACTGCTTTTGCATGTTGCTTTTCAAGCATCTGCTAAATACATATATGTAAATGTAAGTGAATATGGCTTGTGTAACCCACTCGAATCTCTATAAACAAGTGGAGTGTGAGGAGACGAGCACCACTGATCCATGCTTACCTTGATTTGAAAAAGCTCAGAAATTGTTACAGCCATTAAATACTCAGTCTCTGCTCATCATCAGACTCCTCTACTAGTAGACACACCAGATCACTGCAGATCAGCCGCTTCACCATCTGAGTGAACTAACTATAACTAACCTAACCTATAACAGCATGTCTGGGCTCTCAACAAAACCAAGCATGCCTCACAGTTCTCAGACGGTCAGATTTTGCAAAGATTCTTTATCAGAGACAAGTTTGTACCACTGACTAGTCAAACAAACTGCTGGGAATCTGCTGCTTCATTCATGATCAAATGTCCTGTGAACGTGAGGGAAACACACGAGCCGAACGCATCTAGATGCTGAAGATCACCGGAGCCACATCTCTGACTGAATTTCTGACTGCTCATGTTGTTAGTTAAGTGACCTGAGAGTGACTTTTAACATGTGAGAACACGTCCAGCGACTTAAAGCTGAAAAAAAAGCAGTGACAAAACACTGATGGTATGAAGCTTTAGAGTCTCAACAAGTGGAGCAGAGCAGAGTGTGAATATTTGCGCAGGTGAATCTCACAAAAACAATGCTAACAACAAAAACACACACCTAATTAATTAATTAATTACTAAATGTATGTTGTATAATTATAATGAAGCCTGATTGTTATGGTTTATTAGAACGCTAGATTAGGAAGCAAGAAAGCGCAGGAGAAATGCAGAAAAGAAGCTTAACGGACCTGTAAAATCAGCAGGATTGAGTCCGATAAATTCCCTTCAAGCGCTTCAGACAGAGTCCATGTTCAGTTCTCATGCCACTCGCCACTTTTACCTTGTTGAACCCGCCTCTTCTCTTTCTCGACACTCACAAAGGTAATGGTTTCTGAAAGGACCTGCTTTTGTGTTGATGAAGATGACAGTACAGATGAGATAATGGAATAATCCTGATACAGCGTATCACATGACAACAGCTTACAAACACACCCGGAGAGATCTGGAAACTCAGCAAGTCCCTGTGAGCGAGACTAAAACCTGCCAGAACAGATTCTCTCCCACACGACGACACAAATCAATTACTCCATATTACACAAATTACACCTTGATGGCAGAGGCTATTTTCACTAACTCTGCCCACTAGTGTGTGGTTGAGCTAAACAACATTACAAAAGACACCAAGCAGCAGCAGTACAGCAGAATTATGTACAATGCCTGTGTGTTATTGGTCAAACTACTTAGCTACTACTTAGCTGGTTTACGCTGGTCCGACGAGCTAAAGACCAGCTTAAACCAGCTCAAACCAGCATCCCAGCTTCAAAACCTACCTAACCAGCATATGCTGTTTTTTTCAACAGGGAATTAATGGGAGGTAGAGTGATTTCCCAGCCCACAGAAGAAAACAAACTGACCTTTACTGTCCCAGTGGACACATGCACAACACAGGTGACGGCTGTAATTGGACAAGCCTTAACGAAGATATCAGATACCTTGAGATGATGAAAAGTTCAGCGGCTCCAACGGGACAAACAACCTTTTTCATCTCAACACGCATCAACAGGCTGTCGCATTCATCTGCTCAGCTGACATCTGTGATCGTCATGCGCTTAACCTTCACCAGTGGGATTCTGGAAGTAAATATCTCATTCATGTTCTCCAATCAACACCTGATTTCAGTCAGTTAATGGAAAGTGTAATGTATAAAGCTCTCTACAAGCGCTGAGGATGTTCAGAGATCATAAAATCATGCCACAAACTCTCAGTCAAGTCACCTTTGGTTCTGTAGTAGAATCAATCAACCAACAGAATCAATTACGGAAACAGACAGACAAAAGCATCATTATTCAGCTCATTATTCAAATCTTTTTTTTTTTAGATTTTTTTTTCGATAACGCTAATTAAACAAAAAAGTTGGAAACAGACAGACAGAATTATTCAGCTCATTATTCAAATCTTTTTTTTTTTTAGATTTTTTTTTCGATAACGCTAATTAAACAAAAAAGTGTTTTTGTGCTGGCATCTTGTTTAGGCCTGACATGGATAAATACACTACAGTATAGCCTATTTCAATGCTGTATTACAAATGAATAAAGAGGAGTTTCACAACATGGTTGTTTTTCAGCGAAGAAGAGAACAATGTTTGTACAAGCAAACAAAAACAGAAGTCCTGTCAAACTACAGAGATCTCGAAAAAGCATCAGTGAGTGTTAAAGTTTTAGAATGTATTGTGTATGTAGTGAAATATTCATGATTGGTGTTGTTTCTAGGCACTGACAGAAGTGAATTTGATGTGCAATGTGGTACCGCCGTATCAGTCGTGTCCAGATAGCACACTCAAAATGAAAGAACACAACAGATGTAGAGTGATTTGTATCATGTTATTAACAGTGTAAGAAATGTTGTCTCATCGACTGAATACTCCAAACTTTCCAGCTGTGGCATGGCTATGTCCCAGTCTCTCCAGTTCTGTAGGCTTGGCATTTCTGACATTAACTCCACCAGATCTCCACTGCTCTGTGTCTGACAGAGGCTTCTGTTTGTGTTTCTGCCTCTTCCTTCTCTCTTACTTCATCTGTATATGCCGGTTCGAATAAGTAAGACTAATAACCCATTATTTTCGTTTTCTTTGCGCAAAAAAAAAAAGTATTCTCGTAGCTTCGTAACATTACAGTTGAACCACGGACTACTTTGTCGATCATCTTGGTACGTTTCTGGGCCTTGATCGTGGTAGTACCCTTGCTGTCTATGGGAGGGTTTCGTCAGAAATATCTTAACTTGTGTTCCGAAGATGAACGGCGGTCTTACGGAACAACACGAGGGTGAGTAATTAATGACAGAATTAATGTTTTCACCTGTTTTCAATGTCAGTCAGCGTGTGAGGATTTAATGTAGCCTACTTCATATGTCTGTGCCATTTGTTTTGAAAAGAACAGAAATACTGTACTATAGTCTACTTCAACCAGACATGTTCACAAGTCTCTGAGGTCCAAGTCACGTCTCAAGTTCTATTTTTAGCAATAGTTCTTTCAGCTAGTTATTTTAATTAACAGTGTGTGAGGCTAAATCAGTTTTGAAACGTTAAAACTAATTACTTCTACTGAATGTCTTATTCATTTATTCAAACGGTCTAATAAAGCACACACACTTTTATTGAAATCATTCATTTAATTTTATACAGAAAATGTTTAAACCTTTTATTTTATTTACCGGTATTTTACATTATTTCTGTATGTAGCAATACAATTTGACTTGTACATGATCTTTGTTTTTTTAATCGGTCAAAATTCTTATTGTCGGTTAACTCCTTATTTATGGTCATCCTTAATTTCACATTTTATACTATTCAATTTTTTATTAATTTATTTAAACGCAATTATTTTTGGAAAAACTCATTTTAAAATTATGGTTAGTTTCAACAGTTATATTCATATTTAATCTCTTCATATAAACAAACTAAGGCTTTGTCTGTGGTCTTTCCATTTAAAATTGGAGGCAACCACTGCATTTTAATCATGATCCAAACAAAGATGCAGCATACATGCAACATGAGCAGTTTTTAATCTAAATTACACTGAATCATTTCCAAATTTGAAGCAAAAACAATGATTTTGTCTTCAGTTTTGTGAAACTACAGCACATTACATGAACAGTACACGGGCTGATGAACGCACATCTCTGCCAGCAGGTGGCGCTTAGAACACCAGTGATACAGCGTTTCCTTGGTTTCCGCTGTAAACAAATCAGCGCCGCGCTTATGAACGCTAATATGCATAATACAGAGGCAAGAGGAAAAGAAATACCATCTAAACTTTTCTAAGGACAGTCAGTTCCCTCAGAGATACATTCATATTAACTCCCAGCCCAACTGTATCGCGATTCATTTAACATCTCAAGCGTTTAGAATCGTCACATATTTGTATCGATTTTCAACCGGCTCGTTACATTGTTACATCTCTGGGCTTCAGGTTTGGTTTCTGTGCCGTGTTTGCTGT